GAACGGGCATTCCCGGCCCCGGGGGAGGCGGGGGAGCAGCCACGGGTTAGATATTTAATCTCACAATGGCTCCCAGGAAATGAATGGTGTCTCCAGGAGAGGGACACAGCCCAGCCCACAGCAAAACCACAAGGAAAGATCTCAGAGATCAGGTACTTCTCAGCCCAGGCAGGGAATGGGGAGGAAGGACATGATTAACCCTTCAGGTGATGGAGCTGAGGTGGCATCGGGCAGGAGTTGGGATGGGTCCTGCCATTGCAGCTCCAGTGAGGTGAAAGCCTCAAAAGCAAAACATGAGGCTTAAAATATTGGATGCAGAAAACCTGAGCCTGCCTGTGTCTGGCCCTGGATTGGATTCCCTTCTTTTTACTCGCTCCACACCACCAAAAGTTCTCTTAACTACTCAGGTCACACCCTCCCTCACCTCTATGCCCTTCCCTCTTCGAGTAAGTGAAGTGGAAGGAGGCAAACACACGAGGCTTTCCAGCCCAGTTACTGGGAAACCTGGAAAAACCACCACATTTGATTGGATTTAAAAGCCACCCAGGTTTTCCTGGACACCTCTTTATACTGCCTGGCTCAGGTGGGTCATGGAGCTCTGAAGTGAAGGGGGAAAGAGAGTTTTCATTTTAAAGCAGAGCCCTGTGACAAAGGCCTGTCACCACCCAGCTTTGGGAGCAGGGACAACATCCTTCCTGTTCCTTTCTGTGCTGGTCTCCAGCCCACTCCTACCCAGATCCTGCCAAAAAAATATTGTACCTCACACACACAAAGAAAAAATTCTTTGCTGGAGTGTTCAAGGGGCTGATAAGGGGAGAAGGGAAGGGAGCCAAGAGCAGGAAGCGATTCCCAGCCACGGGATGGGGTTTGGTCGTTGTTCATAAAAAAAGAAAAGTGAACTCTGGGCCAGCTTAATTGCTTTCAGTAAAGATCAGCCCTTCTATAAAAGAGATTTATGAGGGCACTGATGGTTCCTGGACTACCAGGGGATCTGATAAAGTTTCAGGTATAATAAATGCCTTAATGAGGGGACCTGGGCTTGAATGCACAAGTGGCACCGAGGGGAGCTGGCTGTGGTGGGAGCTGCTCTGGGCTGGGCACTCTGTTTGCACCAGTGAGGGCACCCCTGCCCTGGGAAGGAGGGCACAGCCCTTCTGTGCATGGATTTGGAGCCCTTCTGGAGGTGGGTTGGGAGTGATGCACCACTGGCAGCTGCTGAGGGGACACGAGTGGTCAGTATAAACAGGGAGACACGAGGGGTCCCCTCCCTTCCTTGGGAGTCACAGGGGTGCTGACAAAAAAGAGACAGCCCTTGTCTCCTCAGAGGTCCTGTGCAGGCAACACAGGCCTTCACACAATCCTTCTGTGGGAGAAGCAGGATCAGATCTGGGGAGGATCTGGGAGATCTCAAAGGAAGAGCTCAGAGTGACAGAGGATCCCAGAATCCCAGACTGGGTTGGGTTGGAAGGGACCTTAAAGCTCATCCAGTCC